CTGGGGGGGCGGGGGAGACGGTCCCTCCTCTGCCTCCTGGGCCTGCCCCGGCGCTTGCAGCCTCTGCCTCCCTCCCTCCTCCTCCCCGTCCCTGAGTCCCGGAGTCAAACAAAGAACTGTAGCAGGCTCTCCCCAACCCCCTCCCTCCTCCTCCTTCTCCTCCTCCTCCACCTCCTCCTCCCCTCCCTCCCTCCCCACCAGCAGGCTCCCTCCTCCTCCCTTCCGGTCTCTTCCTTTAACTACCCGCCCCCCCACCGTCCCTGAGTCCCGGAGTCAAACAAAGAACTGTAGCAGGCTCTCCCCAACCCTCCTCCTCCTCCTCCTTCTCCTCCTCCTCCACCTCCTCCGGCGCCCGTTTCAGCTCCCCGGGGCCCCCTGCCCGGTCGGGCGCTGACAGCAAGGGCGGGGGTCCCCGCCGCCGCCGTGTCTCGCGCAGGCTCCGGCTGGGGCAGCGGAGCCCCCGGTGCGGCCATGGACCGGCCCCCGTCGGCGGAGGCGGAGGAGGAACTGGAGTGGCAAGTGGCGAGTCGCAGGAGGAAGGCCTGGGCCAAGTGCCGCAGCTCCTGGCAAGCGTCGGAGACCGAGGATCTGTCCACAGAAGCGACGACGCAGGACGAGGACGAGGACGACGAGGAGGACCTCCCCGGCGCGAAGCTGCCGGCGGCCGCGGGGAGAGGTCGGTGCGCCCAGCGGGCTGCTGCGGGCCGGGGCGGCTGGCGGGCGGGGGAAAGTCTCGTGCGCCCTGGGCGCTGCTGTGAGTTAGTTCTGAGAGCGCCTCGGGTCTTGATAGGCCGAGGGGAGAGGGGACACTTCCGACCTTTAAACGCGCGCGCTTGGCGAGACGTCTCCAGCGTCAGCATAGACACCTGGGTGCCTTCTGATTTCCCTTCAGATGGACACTGAGACATGTTGCTTAGGCTGCATTTTGCCCCCAGTAGTAGACTTTCCCACTTGGGATTGTCCAGGGTGACCGTGCCTTCGGAGTCCCTCTGGGGCTGCTAATGAGCTGTCCCCTCGCTTTCCCCCCGCAGGAAACGTGCCCAACGAGAAGATCGCCATATGGCTCAAGGACTGCCGGTGAGTTCTCCGCGTCCTGGAGGGAGATCCGTGTAGATGGGACGCGGAGCAGAGTGACTCGGCCGCGTCCCCGTCGGTCCCGTGGCCGTTGTAAGCTATAAACCGGAAAGTGAGCCGGCGGATAGCTTCCTCCTTTAAGCGATTAGAAATGGAAGTACTGTGACCACTGATTATTTAGTGACCGTGTTGACTTCACACTTGTTAGGACTTCGGTTGCCCGTGCGTGATGTTAGCTTCAGAGATCAGAAACCTAAAACAGATGATCATGCCATGTTATCCTTGTTCTGTTTTTATTTGAAAGGATTCTCACATTTCACAGGATATTTTATTTTGCTTTTGTTTGGCATCTGTACAACTGGCATCGAATCATTTTCCTTTCAGATGTGTTTTCGGCAAATTTAATTTACTTAACTACACTAAATGGGCTTTAATTTTATTTCTGTTCATTAATTTTGTTTAGGAAGCTGTTAAAACTATCTAACTTTGTACTTGTAGTTTACTTCTTGGACATGGATTTGTCAGATGGCACTAGGATTCACAGAAGGGAAATAGAGCTTTGAAAGCACTCAGACTTCAAGTCTGTTTAATTACATGCTTTGGCAACTGGTACAAAAATGTTTGATAAGATACAGAGGAGATGAATCATACTGCAAGTAAATCTGACTGTAGTAAAATATGCTTGTTTCATATTTTAATTATTTTTTTCAATTTATTTGCCACTTGTATAATCTTATATGAAGAATGTAGATTTTTATCTACATTTGTTGGTGTTTGCTTCTGAGCATATTTTTGTCTTCTCAATTTAGGTGTTTCTTAATATTTTGTTCAGCTACTGGAGTTAATGAAGTTTTTTTGTTTTTTCTTTCTTTTTTTTTTGAAAGTGATTCTCATATACACCAGTTTGGTTTTCTCCCTTAAAGGCAGATAAAATATTGGCTATGTTAATGCTCAATTTTGATGGATCGACTGGAGCCTTATCGAATACTCATTACAGAACTCCTTACCCTTATGAAATATGTGGAATTTCTCTTTAAAGATGCACAGATATACTGCTTGAAGTCCTTGGACACCAGATTAACAATCTAGCTCTAATTCAACCCCCTGATTTTCAAATTAGGAGAATATAGTCTTAGGTGATTCCACTCAGAACATGGATCAAGAAATCGTATTAGTGTGCCACTGGTTCATTGAATTGTAAAATATGGAAATAGCATAAGATTTAAAAGATTGAGATTTTTAAATAGGTATCTTCAGGGCCTTTTAGGAGAGATCTTGTGAAAACAGTATTTAAGTTTTCCCTTAGAAATGTGTCTGGAGAGGATGTTTTGTTACTTTTACTCAGCTCTTTTAAAACCTTCCATCTTACTCTTGATTTAAATACAGTCCTAAGTACAGTATTGGCTTACTCTTGGTATCTTAAAACAGGTTTAGCATTCAAAATAAATTTATAGTGTTTTATTGTTTAAATTGAAGTATATATTCAAAAGAATTAAAAAAAATTAAAAGCAAGAGAAGAATCACTTCATTTTATCATGTAGGAATTAAGATTGTGTAAGAGATCTTATCAGATGGACCCTAAATAAGTGCATCTTTTAAGATAAATGTAATAGGCAAATGTTGACATTCACCAGGACACAATCATCCCTAAAAATTCCGGAAGTTTTGTTGTTAATACTGGTTCATATGGGCAGATTCTGTAGTCTTCCGTTCCTTCTCTCATAGGTTTCCTTCTTGTTTCCTACAATTGCACCTATTCCATACAAAAGCGTCATTCATTTGTACCGGGGATAGCTAGAACAAGTAGTCTTTTAATGTTGGCTATAATATCACAGATTCAACTGCTGGAATATGTTGCAACTGTATTTTTTTTTAAATAGCCATTTAGGTTCCTTCCCAGAGTTGGGCATCTGTCTGTGTATTTGTACAAATGACCTGAAAACACCATTTTCCCCCTTGATAAGTTCTCAAATATTCTTTGTTGTGTTTATTGCTGTCCATATCCTGAATAAAGATACCATGTTTTGTTTCCTTGAAGGGAGTCTTTATTTTGATATTCTTCTTCTTTTTTTTTTTTTAACTAAGTGGAACCAAATTTCTTGAATTAGCATCTAAGAAGGGATACAGATTTTGATTGAATTTGGAAGGGAGCAACTGTAAGAAAGAGAGAGTTTTGTTTTCGAAGGGGAATGTCAATTATATTCTGCTTATTTGCCATTTTCTGTTCGCACACAGACCAGTAGAGACATCTGCAGACAGAATAATACGGTATTTTGATCTAACTAAGAAAGTAGCCATCAGGGAAGAATGGCTTTTTAAAGGCATAAATTAGAATTTTATTAAAATATATGGGAAAACTTAAAAGGTTTTGTTACTATCTTTATGGTAATTGCTTGTGATTCTTTTACATTTCAAAAGCACTAATTTTCAAAGAACTATTGCTTGTGTATTTGCTTACAGAAAGTTTTAATATTTAATTGGCATTTCAGTAACATTTCTTTGAAACTGATATTTTCATGATTGATCCCAGGTCTGATGTGAATTTTTAACAAGAATAAATTGTTACTAAAGAAAAATTTGTATCGCAAAATAGAATTTTCAAAATAAAACAATGTGTTTTTTATTATAACTTAGTTTTGAGAGGATTAAAAGTATTTTTGTATTTGAAAAAATAAATTTCTAAGTCATCTCTCTTTCAACTACAAGAATGTGAAAAATTTTAGTAGTGGCTAATTCTTAATATTGATTCTTAAGCCAACTTTCTAGTAATTTTCAAAGTTAAATGAAGACTATGTATATTTTTCAGTTTAAAATCAGTAAGTGAATCTCAAGCTTCTCCATTTATGTAGAAAGACAAGGGAGGCAGTAGGTGGTGCTCTGAAATGCTAGTGATTAACAGATGAGGTTTAAGGAAACTGTTGAGCTTGATTGCTAACTAGACTGAACTTTTTAATGTTAAGGTTAAATTACCTACTACTGAAGATTTGTTTTCTTCTATAGTAATTCTGTTTTCTGTTTCTATGGAAGGGATTGAGAGGAGCAGACATTGTCTCAATGCCTACTGTCATTCTCTTCATTTTTTTTTGCAAAGAAAATGCCAATTCATATCATTTGTAATTGCCATTCCTGCTCTTAAGTGCTCTTAATTGCTGGCAGATGAAATGTGTGATTAAATCATTCCTAGTGAACTGACTTGACAATAGGTATTTGCTTCGTTAGTAGAATATTACTTATGTAATCCAGTTGCATTCCTTGTGTTTTGGGAGGAGAGTAAACTGTGATTAGAAGTGTGCTTAGCTGTAACCTTTTAAGTAAGACTGTGTAGTGACAGCTCTCCAGACAGCTTTCACAAGACTAAGGCTTATATGTTTGTGTGGTTTCAGTACACCTTTGGGAGCCTCACTGGATGAGCAAAGCAGTAGTACACTCAAGGGTAAGAGAAAGTTGCCTTTTTAAATCTGTTCTTTACAAGGGTCTTATTTCATTTGTCCTCTGGGTAAAAGTGTATATGTGAATTATAAAAGTGATGTTCGTGTTTGTAAAATATGTTGTTCTGAGTTAGAAGCCAAAAGGGAGAAACCTCGTTATAAATCATAAAACCGTGGTGCATTTAAGCAAATTGCCAAACCTTTTCACAATGTGAAACTTATATTTTTACTGTCCGGTTAGACATTATAAAGACTAATGAAATATAGAAATACAATATGTAAATATAAGGAAAATATATATTGAGTGAACTAAAGTTGAGTCAACTTTAGTGCAGCATTTCTTTGCTTACATTAACTGAAATTGCCACACCTGAAATTTTACCACCTGTGCAAGACAGAATTCTAAAGTTCAAAGTACAACAAGAATGTGCAGGTAGTGGCAAGGCATATAAAAAACATTTACAGTGTCAGGAAAATCTAGCTTTTGTGCTCCTGACTTAATATGAGGTAGGTAAGAAGAACAGTTGCTTCAGGGTCTGGTTTTCCATGAAACTTTTGGGTGAGATATGTTATCTAATTGAACATCTTCAAAGATATGGTAAGTATAAAATAGGTTGAAGATCAGCTTCTGAGAATTTTATATGGCTGCAAACATGTCTTTACAAAATAAAAGTTTATACTTGCTTCTTGAAATTATATAATCAGAATAATTTCTAAGTATATTCAGGCCTGAAACATTTTACTGTATATTATGAAATATTTTGCTTGGTCAATTTGTTTTAACTAAAACAATCATCATATACAGGGGTTAGGAAAGAACAGAACACCAGGATGAATTTTCTGAATTTTCAAATGTTTCTTTCAGGTGTGCTTGTGAGAAATGGAGGAAGTTTTGAAGATGATTTGTCATTGGGAGCTGAAGGTATGTTTGTTTGGAAGATCTGTATTTTTGTATAGTTTTCAAATAATAAAACATGAAAAAGTCGAATGCTTTCAGGTTATGATCCTCAGAATTAAATTTAAAGGTCTTAAAAATGACTGAGACACATTTCACGGTACCTTTTTTTTTTATATGTTAATAACCTAGCCACAACCTGTGGGACACATGTAGGGATGGCTCTGAAAAACCATTGTGAAGTGTCCATCTGTCTTCCTTGGACTTAAGTGCTTAAAGGAACTGTTTGTGACGAACCGTGGTAATATAACTGAGGGAAGAATTGTCCTAAAGAAGGAAGGAAGCTTAAATATTTATACATGAGAAAACGAAATTGAAGCTTATTTTTAGTGTGGAGTAGACTTATGTCACTTACAGCTGCAGCTTGTCTTTCTACATTGCATTTAAGTATCTCCTTTTTCCCCTTCCTCTTTTTTCTGATTTTTAGAAGATTATAGGACAAAGGCAAAATAGCAGAGTTGGTAGAATTTAATTAGAAATCATTGTGCTGGTGTCTATTCCAGACTGCATTAGCATTTTAAAAGTGTTGTGCTATTTTTAAATTTTCACAGGTTATATAATGTTTTCTAGTGGATTCATAATGAAGCTTTCCACTATGTAAAAATAAGAATTTTTAATTGTTTTACTGGTATTTTAAAAGCTGTTTTATAGCTCATTGGTTGTGCTTTTATTTCATCAGTTTGAATAGACTATTGGTAAGCTGTATAGCTAGGTTATTAATGTGTAACTTAAAAAAAAAAGAATTTTATTAAATCTTTAAAACTTGTAAGTTGATGAATAATGAATTTATCCACTGAGTTCAATATCCTTGCTCTTTTGCTGTTTTAAATACATCTGTAAGATAGATTACTTATTTAGAATCTTCTAACACTAGAAACTCTAGAATATGTGAATATATTAGTTTTTATTATTTCTGTTGATATATTTTCAAGAAATAAACTCTGGAAAGAGCTTAAGCTTACTGCTTGCCAGTCAGTACAATTGAACATGTTGTCAATCCTTTAGTAAAATGCACATCAGTATTACTATAAATAGCACTTTTTATATCTGCTTTGATAGTTTTATAATATTGAACAATTTTATTGGAAACCAGAACCTAAAAAGGAGTCTCATAAAAGAGTGACGGTATTATGTTGTTTTACTGAAAATTATTTCAAGGCGATTTTCATTCATTGAGTAAATATTTACTGAGTGCTATGTGTTAGGCATCTTTGTGCTGGATATACAAAGCAACAAAATTGTCATGACTTTGCAGTTTAGAAATGAAAAAAAAATCAAGTGTGCTGAAATAGAAGTCTGTAATTAATTCCATTCTTTACCTTTGTCTATAAAGGTTAAATGCAGTAAATTTAACTCACTCTAAACATTAACAACACTTATCTATTTAGAACTTGTTAATCTAGGGTAAAGTTGAAAGGCAATTTTTAAAAGAAAATTTATAGTGAAATGAGTAGAAGTTTTCAAGCTATGTGCATGAAAAATCAATTGTAACCTTAACAAATCCACATTAGAACTTAATGTATACTATTGTCACACTTAATGTTAAATCATGTTTTGCTCTTAAAGTATTCTTCATAAACGGCTTTTAAATTTAATTATTACTACCACAAATGTGCTACATTATCTTCCTCATTACTTATTTTTAACCTGTTAAAGAAATTTAATCGGTTATCTGTATAGGTCTTTGTACTTTAAGCTCTCAAGTAGAAGTAAGTTTACATTGCTAAAAACCAAAATCACCCTTCAAAAGCTATTGGGACTGTTCTTATCTATCTGTATATTACTTTTAATTATGCAGATTTAATGAGCCAAAACAAGAGTTTGACATATTAGGCATTTAACTATAATACTGTAGGAATTTGCTTTCTTGGTAATTTTATCATAGTAGTTACAGTCCTACTAACAATTATGCTCTACATTTATTGTTTTTACCTATAGCCAACCACCTCCATGAAAGTGATGCTCAAATTGAAAACTGGTATGTAGCTGTTCTGTTGTATTCCTTTTTAAAAATGAAGAATGTTAATGAAAATAAAGTTTTATATAATCTGATTGTGTTTATAGCAGTAATATCTTGGCCAAAGAGAGAAGACTACAGTTTCATCAGAAAGGGAGAAGTATGAATTCCACTGGATCTGGGAAGAGTAGTGGGACAGTCTCAAGGTAACTTAACTTGGAATTATGGTGGAATTACATTATGTTACAGATGACCTACTCTTAAACATTTTTTTCAGTCTTAGATGTGATATTGATAGTATGAAATCAAAATGAACCCGAAGTGTTTCCTGGACCAGAACAACTGATAGGAGCTGCTGCTTTTTTTCTTTTTGTTTTTTAATTGAGATTAAATGAAAAGAAGCAGATAGGTTTATAATGCACTGGACTCCATAAATGAATATTTTGAGTCATATCAACAACCTGAAAGAGGAACTCCAGAGTGGTATAATTTCTAACTGTAGAGAACCAAAATTCTCCATTCTGTTAGGGACTTGAGTTAATGTTGACATAAAAATCAGAATAAATCTTTCTAAGTTAAAGCTTTATATTTAAGCACAAATTTTATTTCAACATATTAAAGCCAGAGATCTTTAAACTGTACAGAATATTAAAATAAGGCAATATGTGTGCCTGTGGAAGCAGTTTAAACTGTTATCCAAATTATTGCATTGGAATCTGAGCATTTTCTTTGAAGAAAATTGAAATGTCCTTCTGTTCAAGTTTCATCTGTAATTTTTCTGTTCTCTTCAGTGAGTCTTAGGAAGCTTGGATTATCACTGGCATGCGAGGGAAGAGTTAATAAACGTTTAATTCCCAGTAGAATTAGGGCAAATAGTTACCTTTGTGTAACCGATATTCTCCAAACCTTACTCCTCCTACTTCCTGGGTGGTTAGAGAAAAGTTGAAAGTAAGCTCCTCTCTCATTTTTCTGAAATCAGGTTGTTACCTTTATTGTCTCTCCTAGGACAGTTGCCTCTCCTAGGATAGAAGTAGCAGAAAAGCTCAAGTTTCCCAGCGTGTCCCTCAGTATCAGAGTTCTACCAACTTCCTAGTGAATTTTCCTTTTTCATGTCTTCTTTAATCTGTTTATTCCTTCTTCCTCATCTGTCTTCTAATTGTTTTAGCTGCTTTACTGGGAATCTCTTAAAAATGACAAAAAAAATAAGGTGAGGAATCCCTTAGTCTCTGAGTGTTCCTGCGGGTTATCTCCGTTTTCCAACATTAGCAGCTTGAGAGAATGGACCCTTTCTAAGGGCTGTATATCCCGTTAGTACACAATGTATTAACATGATGAAATAAATAATAGTTTAAAGAGCAGAAGCTGAGAAAAAGATTTTATCACAGGAAAGCAAAAATATGTATTCGTCTATAATGTGATGTGGACTATAAATTTATTTTACATGTTCATATTTCTTTTTTCTTTTCTTTTTTTTCGTAGTGTTTCAGAACTGTTAGAACTTTATGAGGAAGATCCTGAAGAAATTCTTTATAATCTTGGATTTGGACGTGATGAACCAGATATTGCTTCTAAAATTCCTTCCAGATTTTTTAATTCATCATCATTTGCCAGAGGGATAGATATTAAAGTATTTCTGAGTGCTCAAATGCAACGGATGGAAGTAGAAAACCCAAATTATGCCTTAACAAGTAAGGTCTTTAAGTGTTGGCATATTATTTTTAAATTATAGCATCCGCAGCAAGATGGTCTTATTTTTAAAGCCTTACTGATTTTCAGGAATAGCACTGGAAAGTTAATTGATGGGGTTAATTAATGCAATAGTTATCTTACTTATTCTGAATTTTTATTTTTTTATTTATAGTGGTTAACTTACCTATTCTTTCCGTCCTCCCCAATTCTTGACTCATTTAAGTGTTACCATAACTTACTTCCAGAACCTTATCCTTATCTCCAGATTGCTCTTGTTCAAGAAGAGAAGTAGGGGAGGGGCCTTGTTAACCTTAAATGAAATCAGTCAATTTCAGGTGCTTTTCTGTAAATCTAAAATAGCATGACTAATTTGATCATTTTTACTCATATTATTTACTCATATCTTTGCTTATTTTTTTTTTTCTGTTGACCAAAGTTTCTGAAAATAGGACTCCCTACATTGTTCATGGATCAGTTCTAAGAAGTCTATATATGTCCCCCTCAATTAGGTATATAAAATGTATACTTATGTGCATTTTCTTAGGAGAACTTTTGGAAGAGTCTTAAGGGAGTCCAAGACTTGAAAACAGAATCACAGCTGTAGATCAATAGCTAGTTCTTTCTATTGTAGTCAGTGTTACCATCCTACTTTGTGCTTATTGCTGATTTTTTAAAAATATAAATTCTGGTATTTAGAGTAAAAATCTTCCTTCTTCTTTCCACTCAGTAAATGTAGAGAAGGTTTCAGTGTTAGATGAGGAAAAGATATGGTTTTAAAATCTTTGTGGTCCAAGTTTAGTTACTAGAATTTTTAACATAGCATATGCTTAGTATATGTATATATTTAAACAACCATATACATATAATTAATGTTTTTTTCTTTTGGTAGGCCGTTTTCGTCAAATTGAAGTGCTTACTACTGTGGCCAATGCATTTTCTTCTTTATATTCCCAAGTCTCTGGGACTCCTCTGCAGAGAATTGGAAGTATGTCCTCAGTGACCTCCAACAAGGAGACAGACTCACCTCCACCTTTAACTCGAAGCAACACTGCAAATCGTTTAATGAAAACACTATCAAAACTAAATTTATGTGTTGATAAAACAGAGAAAGGAGAGGGTAGTAGTCCTTCCCCAACAATTGAAAAAGGAAAGATTCTAAATGTTTCAGTGATTGAAGAAAGTGGCAATAAAAATGATCAAAAGTCTCAAAAAATTGTGAAGAAGAAAGATTCATCTTCTATGTTGGCTACAGTTAAAGAAGAAGTCTCAGGTAGTTCAGCAGCTGTTATGGAGAATGTTGATACTGATAGACTTTCTGATGAAGCAAATAGTAATTTTAACCAAGAAACTGCAAGTGAACAAAGTAAAGAAACTCAGAGTAAACTGGGTGAGGAATCTGTAATTATAGAATCTGATTTAGGTAACGATTTCCACATTTCCAGCCACAATGAGCTGGAAAATAGCAATGAACTGAAAAATGTCCACATGTCCACACCTGAGAAAGAGCCATGTGCGCCACCAACTATTGCATACATAAAAAATATGACAACACAGCAGAAGGACTCCTTCGAGATGGAAGAGGTAAGTGAAAAAATTACTGAGACTAGTTCCAGATAGTGAACTAGGGAGAAAATGGTGCCAAAAATGTTTATAAAATGAGAGGTAGCTAATAGGTTTATACTAGGAAAATTCATCCTAATTTTGACTTTCCAGGTGTATGTTTCACAAACCACAAAATAGGTGACAGGACTGTGTGATATTGAAGTAATGAGACAGTTCATCAGGTCCTCCAGATCATCTCTCATCCACTAGCTGATACTTGAACCTTAACCCCCTTTTCTCTCTCAAGGATAAGATTTTGATGTTCCAGAAAGCCCTAATAGAGGATATTTAAATTCAAATCAATATCACGTAACAGTTATAAACACTGGCTTCTAAATGAAACAGGTTTGGGTTCTGCCTCTGCCACTGAATTGCTGTGCGCCTTTGGAGAACTTTTCTTAACATATCTCAGTGGTAAGGTTAAGCGGGAAGAAGGCTTTGAGGATGGGTGTTGGAATGTGACTGCAAAGAGCAAGAAGATGATACACACTTGAAGGGGAGGATAGGGAACCTCGAAGGAGATTTGAAAGGCCACTGACTAGGGTTCTTGCAAGCCCAGAAGACCAATGTTTGGTTACTTTTGGTTACCCAGAGATATTCCTGCTAGTTAATATAAATTTGGAAATGGACAAGATAAAGATACTCATTTTGGTGAGGTCCAGCCAAAACTGCTTTTGAATAGTAGGAGCTGTTACTTAGGAGTTGGAGGTATGTATAATAATTTGAGGCAGGAAACAGGTTTATCAAGCACCTGCCCTATGGTAGGCATTGCACTTGGCCCATGAAATACTCTCAGTCTGTGAGGCACGTAGTAGTGGTCTTACTACACACATGAGGAAACTGAGTCATGTGTGCTGGTGAAGAGTTGTGGCTATACATTATATACAATTATATACATTATATAATATGTAATTTTTCTTTTTTAAATTTATTACAGAAGATTAGTTTTAGTAGTAGTTCACATGTCATTAGGGAACTGGAAAACAAGATAGTTGATTCTGCCCATAAATGTCCGCTTAGGAGAGTGTGTCTCTTTTACATTAGCAAAGATTGTCTATTTATTGCAAAATTTCAATTGCTGAAATAGCTATTTAACTTTTTTGTGGTTTTTTAGCACTTTAATTACTAAAAATGAAATAAAAAGGGTGCAGGAGCAGCCCTTTGGAATATTTAGATATTCTTGTGAGCTTCTTTTTCTTGTTTCTTTATATATTTTTATATTTCTCCTATTTCCTTAATTCTTGATATAATTTATTTCTCATCATAGTATGAAAGTACTATATGATGACTACATTAAAACTTCTCTTTGTTCTATTTCACTCTTTGATTTGTTTTCTTTTTGACTTTGTTTTGGTATAAACTTGTCTCAGCACTCAGAATTAAGGTGTAAGTTCTTGCCTTCCATTAGGGCCCCTCTTTTATGACAATCAGGTATGAAAGTCAGTTTCCTTGTTTTAATACAATAGCAGAGTATTAAAATCTAATCAAATTATGTTAGGTAATTGCAAATCAGATATTGGTGACTCAGATTAAACAATGCTCTTATATGTGTATTTGCAAAGAAGTCAAAGAAGTTCCTTTTTAATTTCTAGAATTCTGAATTCTAAGCTATAGGTTTTTGTGGTGTGTGCGTTTTAACTTTAATTTCTAAGATACCATACACAGCAGGTCTTTTAAACATTAATAAAGTGCTAAATACACTTTGGTGGCAAATTAACTGTAAAGATGATAGGCTATATTTTTTTTTTTTTTTGCCCCCTCTGCTGGCAAAAACAGTTAGTGAAGAAAGTAGGTAAGTTGATGTGAACATTTTTTTAAAGTGCAAGATTACATGCTTTGGTGGTTGAAGAATAATGGAAGATTTTTGTTTTCAGTGAAAGAATATATGGTCAACCATTGCTATATTGCAAATACGAGGAATTTTGAGAATAATGCATCCTTATTCTTCAGATATATTTAAAACATAGATAAAAACCTCCTAGAATTGTGTTTTTATCCCTTTGGGAATTTTAAAGAGAGCTTGTAGAACAATGGATAAAGAAGGGAAATAATGTGTTTCTTTAATTTCCTCTTCTCTCAAACATTTGAATCATATTGACAAATGAGGAGAACAATCTTACTGAAGCAAACTTTCAGATCCCATTCAAAGTAGTTTACTATTTTTCTTTCGGACCCCTTTCACTTGAGATTTGATCCCTGTTGGGAGCTTTCTTCCTGTGAAAACAGTGAGTAACTATAAGTTAGAGCTCTTTTTCTCTCAGCGAACCAGTTCTCAGACAGATTATCTGAACACCAGATACTTTGGGAAGCTAGGTAGGAGGAAGTGTTGCAGATGGGGCTGTGTGCATGAACTGCCTAATCCATCTGAGACAGGAGGTAAGATCTGACAGTCACCAGAAGCAAAAAGAGGAAATACTTAAATGTAAAGAGAGCTAAATAAATGACAAGACTGATCCTGGTCCGGGCTAGAGAGTGAAAGTGGCCATTTCTTATGTCAAAAAGGAAAAACAAACAAAAAGGCCAGAGATTATTTTCAATTAAAAGTCAGCTTGCCTTATAAAAAATGTTTTGTGGACTATTTAAATGTTGCAGTGTATCTGAAAGTTATAAAACCCCACTCTTGAATTTTTGAATCCTTAATGACTTGTTTGGGTAATTCTTGTGTTCTTCTTGAATGGCTTATTTTGAATATATCATGGTAACTCTCTGAAGCCATAGATTAGTATTAATAGTATGAATAATTAACAGTTAAACCAAAATGATCCTACTCAAGCAGTTGTTTATCTTCTAGGTGTAGAGGCCTAAAACTTCTTAAGGGTCATAGGAAGGAAAAGTTTTGTCTCTGTATCTGTGAATAATTTGTCGTGTCGCCTTCTCACCCTATAAATGAAATTTATATTTAAATATAACCATAATTGGAAGTATACATAATCATCTTTTTTATGCTACTAAAGTTTAGTAACTGTTTCTAATCCTGTCTTTATATTAATTGTTGATTTAAATAATAGGATTCTTTTACATTTATTAGTGTGACTTAAAATAATCCCAAATTAATCAGATATTTGACAGATAGTTAAGTTGTTCCTTTGGCCTTCCAAATTTAACTATGTTTTTTGAAGATCAGTGTGTGCTAGAATATGTAGTCCAACACATGACATGTGCACAGATGTCTGTTACTTAAAGCCCTATTAACCACTGAGTTTTGTTACTTGATATTTATCTAAAAAGCTTAAGTTATCTTTTTTTAAAAAGGATTTACCTGACAGTAAAAATAAATTGTATATATGTGTGCATGTAAAAATTTGAGAGCATTTTTAAGATTAAAAATTTGCAAGTAATTATAAAATCATAAATTGGCCCAGAAAGGAATTTTTTTTTTTTTTTTTTTTTTGAGAGACAGAGTCTTACTCTATCACCCAGGCTGTAGTTGGAGTGCAATAGTGCAGTCATAGCTCACTGCAGCCTTGAACTCCTGGGCTCCAGCGATCCTCCTGCCTCACCTTCCCAAGTAGCTGAGACTACAGGCGGGTGCCACCATGCACACCTGTTTTTTTGTTTGTTTGTTTTCTTTTTAATCTTTAGAGACAGGGCATCACTCTATTGTCCAGGCTGGAATGCAGTGGCATGATTATAGCTCACTGCAGCCTCAAACTCCTGGGCTCAAGTGATCCTCCTACCTCACCCTCCCAAGTAACTGGGACTATAGGCACATCCCACCACACTCAGCAAATTTTTAAATTTTTTGTCGAAATGGGGTCTTGCTATGTTGCCCTGGCTGGTCTTGAACTCCAGGCCTCAAGCAATCCTCCCGCCTTGGCCTCCCCAAGTGCTAGGATTACAGGCATGAGCTACTACTTGAGGTAGAATCTTTTAATCTATTTTCTAGTTTTCTCCCTTTACAGATGAAGAAGCATTTCCCCCCACCTCTCACCTATGATATTATGTTATAGCAGTGGTTTTCCACTGTCTTCCTGAGGGATATATTGTTCGCTTTGGTATCAGTGCCTCACAGTGGGGAGGAATGGGGGTGTCAGTAGGGGATGACAGAGAGGAATCTCCTGTTGTACCTCTTTATTACTTTACTATTTCAAAGTACTTCCACTTATAGTCACATTTGATCATTCTAAGGACCTGTAAGGTAGGAGTTTTAGTCTTTATTTTGCAGTTGAGAAAACTGAGATGATTATTGTAGATAATTGCCAGAAGCCATTATCCAGAAAGTAGCATGAATAAGACTTGAATTTAGCTCTTCCTATAGACTGGCTACTTTGAACTAAACAAGTTGTCAGAGGTCAGACTGGTTGATATTATCAGGCATTGGGCAGGATCTCGTCATCTGATGTGCAGCCCTGTACTACTACTTTGGAAAAATAATGTTCTCTTTTGAATTCTTTTGAGATGTCATTAAAAATTAAAATTGTAATTTCTAAAGCTCTAGTTTTGATTTTTTTGAAAATTATTTTTATATACAGTATATTTTACGATAAGAGCTATACAGTGTCTCTAAACCTTAGAGGAAAGGTTGCATTAGAACATCCACATGTTTCTGTTCTGTAGAACACAGTACAGTGGTATTATGCTTAGAAGATGCATCTTAGTCAAAATAAACAAGATAGCTGTTAAGAAACCAAAGTGGGTGTGTGTTGTGTTAGCAGGACATAGATTCAGAAAGATACAGTGTTTGTTTTATGAGAACATTTTTTTAAATGAAGTAACCCAAATGTATGGGTTACTCTAAAGCTGTTTTCATACATCTTTAAATCCCAAAACACTTGAGACCAAGAGATTTTATCATTTTGTTTTAGTGGGGTTTTTTCCCCCATTTTTATTATAAAAAGTTTAAAATGTAAAGATTAGAGAAAATAGTATAATTAACACCTATTCCTCATCACTTGATTGAGTTTTATTTGGCCATTCTTTTTAATTTAATGAAAGTTGTACCTATAGCAAATGACCAGCGTTCTGCTGAGCATTTGAAACCATTGAATAGGGAAAAAGTCCTGCCACATAAATCTAAGTTCTATATTTGCTTCATAATTCTCTATGGTGTACCCTATCTTGAATTTGACTGCTTTCTTTTGCAGAATTATGATCAATAATAAAATAAGGTAATTATCACCCACTACAGTTATCACCCATTATCACTAACATGTCGGTTTCTCTCTTCTGCAAGTAGGTAGTATGATTTTGCTGAGTGAGAAGAATGATCCTAATTTTAGTAGTTTTATTATTAAATATGACCCTCTCAGCTTTCTTGTTTAAGTATTCCTTTCTTGCAATTAATTATGGAGTTTGTAGTGAAAGAGGGGAGGGAGAGAGCGAGAGAATAATTTGTTTTTTTTTGTGCTATAGAGGGAAAAGATAGTACACTGAGGATACACGTTTATTAAAGTCATATTATTTTGTGATTAATTTTATAAGCCTAAGGAACTAGAATATGTGATAATTCTACATTTAAAAGAGAGATTATAATTTGGTGTATCATAATGCTGTGCCTAAACTAAGATTCCTAAAACATAAATAGAAAGGCATTTGGATTTCTGTTACAGTTTTTTGATACGGTTGATATTTACTTTATAGAAAAATCTTTGAAGTAGGTTGGGTCTGAATAGAGGCTAATAATAGACCTTTTGTTGAATATAAAAAGAAAATTCATTTTGTTCCCTTGGACACAAAACAATGGTTTTCCTGTTGAACTTGTGTCTGCTGCTTAGAAGAGTATACTATAATTTTTACATAATGACAAAGAATAGTAGAACCTATTTTGCGTATCTAATTTATAGGTAATGGTTTAAATAACCAGTGTGCTGTCAGTTTTCAAAAGATTCATAAACTTGAGTTCATGAAACTATGTAGTACAAAGATATTACAAATCAGAACAATTTTTAAATTGCCTAATAATATCTCTAACCTTTTGGCTTTTTTTTTCATATTGCTTATTCCACGCGTATTCTTATGGAATATTTCTTATTCTTGAATAGATTCATAGCTCAAAACTACCAGAATTTTATGTAAAACCTCTGCTATTTGCTCTCTGATTTATTCAAGGTTGGAAACCCATATATTTGGCTAGCTTGCCTACTTTACTAGGATTTTATTTACTATTTAAGTACTAATCATTACAAGATCAGATGATGGAAATTATTGTACCTCTCCCTCCTCCAAATGTTTAATCTTGATAGAGAGTTAATTATGTTAGAATCGAGTATTTGCAGGGTGGAGGTGATGATTAGGAATCTGAAAATTTCTAATTATGTAGTTGTGCAGGTAGAAGAAAAAAGCACAAAAGACAACTTTTGTAGCTTTGATACCTTCTTTGAACAGTGTTTTCAGCAAGGATTTATGGCTAATTTTAGTTCTGTTAATGAAACCTGCTTTTCCACTTAGAACTCCCAACTGATGTCTGGAAAGAATATTTGTTTCAGGACAAAGCAGTCTTATACAGGAGTGATTTTTGATAGGTGAAAATTTGGGGGATTTTAGAAAATTTTGCAATAGTAGCACAGTGTTCCATTTACAAAGATCCAATACTCGTAATTGCTTCGATTGCATGTTGGTCATGGTGTGCTGCAGTGAGTGCATTAGCGTTTCTCCTGGGATTGACCCTACTTGGAAGTTTAACATTTAGAGAAGAATTTTTTCTTATGGATCTGATTTTCACGTAATAGCAGCTTTTTTTAATGAAGCGGCTTATATATGCAGTTACTGTTCTTTGTAAGCTGCAAACTTGAGTGCTATTGTTAACTGGAAAGTAGATCAGAAAATTGAATCGTGGAACATTTTAATAATTTTGAGACAAGATGTCTTTAAGTATACATATAATGCTTTGGTGCACTTTTAGTTAGGTTGATTTAATAGATGGTTATCAAGAGGTTATTCTTCCTTGCCCTAGATTCTTTTAGTTTTAACTACTTTAAAATCTTCTTTAGGTTCAAAGTACAGAGGGAGAAGTGCCTCATGTTCCAGCCTCTTACCAGCTAGGTCTTACCAAGTCAAAAAGAGGTAAGTAAAACAATACCCACTAGTTCCTGAGCACGCTTGCAAAGTGTTGTGAGTTGATTTGGAAGAGGAGTTTTACGTATCTCTGTGTGTAGTACCTGTAAGTGTGAAAAGATTAAGAACACAGGTAGGCATGCTTCGTTATTGTTTGGTATAGAATTTTTTGTATTTTCTTGAAGGCTTTTGTGCTCATAAACTAATTAGTTGGCTTATTCTGTAATGACCTCATTACACAATTTTGTGTGCTCTGTATGTTTTTCAGTTCTGCATAAGGACTGTATGGAAAGAAGGGCTACCTTTTACATTGTTGTGATTGAAAAATACACTTTATCATCCATCTCTAGGGGTTTATTATTTAAATATAGCTTTTAGGTTTAATACACAAATATGCCTCTGGCAAAAAAAACAATTTTCAGCAATAGTTAAACCTAGTTAAATTAAATTCAAACTGTGGATCAAAGGTGAGTGGCTGTAGATATCGGTCCTCTCTTGAATTATTAATTATTGACCAAAGAACCTTTGAATCCATTCCTTTCACTTTTAACTTGCAATAAGAAAAAAATGTCTGATACCATTTACAAAGCTTTTGAGACAGAAAAAGGGAGAGAGGAAGAAGTTAAAATGACCACCGAAGGTAGGACTGTTTATTTTTAAAATTTTACACACACTGAACCACCCTGTGTTTTTTTTTAAACACAGATTCGTATGTATGTTCCTAGAATAGGAAATTACATGTTTCTTCTCTGAAATTACTTCATAAGAGATAATTTGCATATAATTTTTCTTTCATTGCAATGTGGCATTAAGAAACAAGAGCTCCACTCTCACTAGGTCACTACAGTTCTGACCAGACACAAAACAAGCCTTCCTATTTAATTTTCTTCCCCTCGTAAGTTCATAAATGCATGTATGTGTTTCTGAGCCGAGTTCAGGGCTATCAGAGTCCTTGCTTTAGACAAGTAGACAAAGGATACATTGGAAAAAGCAGCTTGCCATGTGTCAGAAGGAGGATAAAAAAGAGTAAAATTACTTTAAGATACTTCAAGACCTATTTTCATCATTTTGAAAGATAGCCTATCAAATTTCGATGATGGGCCACATAAACATCTTTCATCGTAACTGCAGAATTAGAATCACAAGAAATATATTTACTTCAAAAGTTTAGTAAGAATGCATACAGTACTTTAGTATTGTAAATGTAGTAAAATTGCCTTAATCTCAAATCCAATCCAGTGTTTACATGCTAAGGCCCAGAGAGGTTTAGTAACTCAGTTTATTTTGCCAGCTAACATTTGATGGGTATGTTGAGAGAAGTCCAACATTTTTATTATTACAGAAGACATATAATATTTTCTTTAGCAGAAAATATACAGTTCCGTTTTGTTTTTTTAATGATACTGGACAAATAAAATTTCCAGATATTTTTCCCTCACTTTCATGTTTCCTCTAACTTCCTAGTTTTTAGTTAGAAATCACATTTTACATCTTCAGGACAGAGATCTAATAATTTTTAGTTCTACCCTTTTCTATTGAGAACTGTGTTTTTTGGAAACAGAAATATCTGACTAAGGAACCTAGATTGTGATTTATATTTATAGTTTACAAAATAGTTTCATCTTCATTCTACTTAGTTACTGAAGTAGCCATCTGAGATAGAAGAATTATTCTTCCTCCATTTTGCAGAAGAGAGAAAGCTACTGCTTACGATGATGGAACACAGCAGGAACATGAACGCAGGCCTCCTTGTTCTTTCCTTTGCCCAACACCTGTTCTGAAGCCTAAGCAGTCTAAATATGACCTAACTTGTGTGAACGCAGACAGGGCTCAACAGCTATGAGGTGAACTAAGCACAGACGACACTGTTGCAGATAAAACAGGTCTTAGCAGGGAACCCACGTCAGAGCTGCTCACTCTGGCCTCCCTGGGCTCTCAGGCAACTGCCCTTTGCCCAACCAGATAGGCAATTTCACTTCTAAATCATTTGAGTGACTGCTTGATTCTATTGTTGCTTTAAGGAAATAGTTATCATTGATTCATTCAGCAAACATCATTTATTTTCAGTTTCTTTTAGCTACTTGGATACAAACAAGACTAAATAAGGTTTTGCCTTTAGAAGGCTTACAATCTAGTTAAAAAAAAAACGTAAATATGTAGTGATAACTGCTACAAGATGTTAATTTTAATTAATACAATGCTAATTAGTACTGATGGTAATAGCTTATTGCAATTCAGTTTCACAGTTATTCCATTTTACCTAGACGTATCAAGGACATGGAGTAATTCCCTATATTTGATTAGGCATTTTTAAAAAATATCACAACATAGCCGGGCGCAGTGGCTCACGCCTGTAATCCTAGCACTCTGGGAGGCCGAGGCGGGCGGATTGTTTGAGCTCAGGAGTTCGAGACCAGCCTGAGCAAGAGTGAGACCCTGTCTCTACCAAAAATAGAAAGAAATTAATTGGACAGCTAAAAATATATAGAAAAAATTAGCCGGGCATGGTGGCACATGCCTGTAGTCCCAGCTACTTGGGAGGCTGAGGCAGTAGGATTGCTTGAGCCCAGGAGTCTGAGGTTGCTATGAGCTAGGCTGACGCCACGGCACTCACTCTAGCCAGGGCAACAAAGTGAGACTCTGTCTCAAAAAAAAGAAAAAAAAAATATCACAACAATATTACAGAATTATTCTAAATTTTTAATGCAAAAAATTATTCCATGGAAACTGAGTCTTCAGTGGGATATTTTTCAAAACCAGGTGAACTTTAATAGATTTTGGATTTTATTCAGTCATATTATCTGGTTCTTTATATGGATAAAATCTTAAATGAAATGGTTTTGATAAACCTTTTTTTTTAGCATGTTGTTTTTGAAGTTCCACATAACTGTCCTGTCTCAAGAAGCATCTCCCTTGATAAATGTAATAACTGTGACATCTCCCAATGTGGTAGTCGTTTTATGTATGGAATGGGATCATGCTTGCTGTGCTCAGCTGGCCTATTTACTTACGTAAAACTTTTTTTTTTTAGGTTATACTAGCCAGGAGTTAAGACTTTCGAGGCAGAAAAATAAACAGAAGGATTTTATAAGATTAACAATATTATGTACTATTTGTACCTGTTTGATGGAGTTTCATGTAATTGTTATGAAAGAATTGTTTCATAACTTAACAAATGTTTGTACGATTTGAAACATCAGAGACAAATTAATTTATTGGACTTAATCGTATTTTTATTTTCTTGTTAGGAAGATGATAGAAAGTTTTACACAATATACTATACATTTGAACTTCTAATTTCACCTCCTTACATGATGGAAATGGCTTACTTTGGGACTTCTGTTTTTATTAGAGCCATCTTTTATTTCAGCCAGTTGTCCTCAAAGGATAAGACATTAATTGGATTTTCCAAAATAGTTTTACTAAAGCTTAATTAACAACTGAATACTGAGAGTTTCGGATAGAAGATCTAATTCAGTTTTGTTTGAGTTGCCTCCTATACTTTGAAGCCACAATTTTGCATAAGTAATGCATACTTTTCTAAGAAGGAATCTACTTTGTATATCTTATATCTGTTGAGAATCATATATCTGTGATAATATTGCTGTTAGTGAAGTCTTAGCAGTTTTGTATAACCAGACTTTTTTATTCATAGATCATCTGTTACGTACTGCGAGTCAGCATTCTGATAGCAGTGGTTTTGCTGAAGATTCAACAGATTGCCTATCCCTTAATCATCTTCAGGTAAAATTTTCTACTGTAATAGGCACTATGATTAGCTTCATCATTTTAAGGTGATTTTTCAATAACTATATGTTTTAAGACTGAATCTGTCTAATCTTTATTTTTCAAATGACAGTAAGAGTAAAACTCCTGGGACGTAGATCTTATCTAAGCATTTGACTACAAATTTTAGGTTTCACTTAATGCTTTTCTGTCTGAATATTAAAGAAAAACTTCTCTTTCTTAATTTTTGGACCACTAGTAAACAGAGATTATTTTGATTATTAACCTTTTTTGGTCTGTTATTTTTCTTATTTTTTACTGTCATTGTGTTTCAGTATTTCCTAGTAATTGTTTTGCTTATTTAATATCTAAAATTAGTGTGGGTCTATAACTTGCTGAATGTTATACTGACTTTTCTGCTAGACTGTATTAGATAACCCAGAAAACAGGCATATCTTTATCCTCGAGGAGCTTGTAGTCTGTATGTGGAGTACACAGAATGTATACAAAAAGCATTTAAAACATGTGTAAGCAAGTTCTAAGGGAAATTGCGATGACCCAAAAAAAAAACCCAAAAGAGCCTTTAGGAACATAGCATTTAAGGGGTAAACACATAAGAGACATATGTAAGGAGACTCAGAAAGAATAATCAAGTAGACAGAAAATTGGAGGATGGATGAGAGACTTTGAAAGGAAAGCTGTGGCCGTCAGAGCTGGTGGCTGTCAGGAGCCTTGGGAGAGAGTAGTTCTGATGGGGTCAATGACACAAAATCGTGATTAGACAGTAAAGCAATGGTGAGGAAAAGAAGTTAAAAATGTTGACCATTTTGTCAAATAAGGATGGTAGCTTAAGGGAGGGTGGTAGGTCTTTTTGTCTTGTTAACATGGGAATAACTTAGGGAAGTAGTTCAACTAAGGGATGGAACTATATAAGAGGAGAGTTTGATCTAGAAAAATCTGGGATGAAACTGGGAAATACCCTGGTCCTGGGGAGGATGTGATCAGAAACACAGGTTGGAGGGATTAGCTTTGAATAAGGCACACAGTTTCCTTTCAGAATGGAGGGAAGGAAGAAATGATGGGGAGAGATATGGGGAAGTTTATAGGTGTTGGGGAAGAACCTTAAGAAATTTTTTTCCATTTTCTCTATGAGTCAGTATCATGTGTTAAAAGGAGAGGAAGAGGGTGTTGGAAAGGGGATTTAAGGGAAATAGTGAAGGTCTGAAATAATCTTTATGAGAAGTCAGGGGGAAGGGGTTGCAAACCAGGGGCAGTAAAAATAATTTTGAGCAGTACTGGGTCCACAACCAAGGTGGGAAACGGTAAAAGTATATAAGCATCAGATCAGTTTGGTATTTTGTTAATGATATTTCTTAATTGTTTTTTCCACCTCCCCACCTGTTTTCCTTTCACAGGTTCACGAGTCCTTGCAAGCCATGGGGAGTAGTGCTGATAGTTGTGACAGTGAGACAACAGTCACATCATTTGGTGAAGACCTTGTCACACCAACAGCAGAAGACCACCCCTGTTTTAATGAATCAGTGGAGGAGTCTCTCATCCCCCTTCAGAAAGGAAAAGAGAAGGCAGCAACAGTTGCTGACAAAAGCAAGTCAGATAGCCAGGATTTCCCTACGTGTGAGACCGTTGAGAATACGCAAAATAAACAGTCCACCTGTAGTCCAGGGGATCATGTTACTGAAATTACTGAAATGAAAGAGGATTTGTCTCCAGCACAGACGGTAGAGCTACTGAGGGAAGCAAGTGCTGAAAGTGATGTGGATAAAAGCAGTGAATGTGAATTCACTCAATATACCACACATCATATTCTGAAATCTTTGGCATCTATTGAAGCTAAATGTAGTGATGCGAGCTCTGAAAATGCAACTGGGCCTCCCTCTTCTGTGGACAGAGTTAATACAGCTTTGCAAAGAGCTCAAATGAAGGTTTGCAGTCTGTCTAATCAAAGAATAGGACGCAGCCTGATAAAATCGAAAGATCTGTTAAAACAAAGGTACTTACTTGCAAAAGCTGGCTATCCTCTACGAAGGTCTCAGTCTCTACCAACCACCTTACTGAGCCCAGTAAGGGTTGTGTCCTCTGTCAATGTTAGGTTATCTCCAGGAAAAGAGACCAGTTGCAGCCCACCTTCCTTCACCTATAAGTACACACCCGAAGAGGAACAGGAATTAGAAAAGGGGATGATGGAGCACGATGGTCAGTCTTTAGTTAAATCCACCATTTTCATCTCTCCATCATCTGTGAAGAAAGAAGCAGCGTCCCAGAGTGAGGTGACCCAGTTGGAGGACTGCCATCACAGAAGGACTCCTGCCTGTTCACAGTTTGTTCCAGCACCCATATCTCAGTCCTCCTGCTCCCTTCACTCCGTCCACTCTGAGTGGCAGGAAAGGCCCCTGTGTGAGCACACAAGAACTCTGAGCACTCACAGTGTTCCCAACATATCAGGGGCCACCTGCAGTGCTTTTGCATCGCCTTTCGGGTGTCCTTACTCACACAGACATGCTGCCTACCCTTACCGAGCGTGCTCTGTGAATCCTCCTTCCACCATAGAAATGCAGTTGCGAAGAGTATTGCATGATATTAGAAACTCACTGCAGAATCTTTCACAGGTATGAAAAAAAAGCATGTCTTTATTAAGTGTATCTTTTTTCTTTTATTGCTCCAAGCACCTCTTAATTCTCCAAGAAGCTGAGACCCATCAGGTGTGAACTCCCTGAGCTTATTTTTTTACATGTCTAAACCTGTATCTGTCCTTTTTTACGCTTCCCTCCTGTTTCAAGGGAAAAACCGTAACTAATCCTGAACAAAGTTAATTTCTCTACTGGTAATCTCCCTCCCTTCCTAGAGGAGAGATTTTGCTCATTAGATATCATCCCTTGTTTAGCCCATCTTCTGTCGCCTTTGTCTTAGTCTAGAATCTTGTCAAGTTGTGCCTGTTATTAAAAATCTTCCCTTTCAAAGTCCTTTCTCTCCTCTCTCTGCCATTTGAATGTGTTGATCATCTTTTCTTTTTCTTAAGTTTTCTTCCCATTGACTTCTGTGCCACTATGTTCTACTGATTCTGCTCGTAGCTCTCTGGGCTAAGCCTTCCCCTTCTCCTACTGACCCCTGATGCTGGTCTCCTGGCACAGAATTAGTCTACTTCCACTGGGTTCAAATACTGGGACTACTCCAGAACAGAAAAAGGCAAAAGAAACAGGTAAAGTGTGAATTTGATTCAAAATGCTCAGTATGTCTTGTCACTTTTAAAGTCATCACCCTTAGGTTTATTAGTAGAATGGAAATACCTTTCAAAAACTTTGAAAATAAGTAAGTTGTCTTCAGGTTTGCTTTTCACATTTTCTTTCTGAATTTCTCTCTGAACTTACTTACATTGAGACAATTAAGGAATTGAAGAAAGTATCAGTGTAATGATGACAGGGTTCAACACAGAGCCAGGTGGCCTAGAATGAATGTAATACGTCTCTAATCATCATGAAATAGTACACAGGAAGCTACTTTAAAAGTAGAAAGGAAAGTTGTAACTTTTCAAATTATAGTCAGATATAACTTCTTTTAATATATATGGATTTTAGCCTCATGACAGTTGTCTCCCAGTGGTTTTTAGTCTAACCAAAATGTGCGTGTTTCTTCTTCCTCCTTACAAAATGCAGTTCTGTCTGTGACTGAGATATATACCCTTTCAGCTCTGATTATGTGGAGCTGGGGATTTCCAGGGCCCTGTCCACCTGCACCCTCATAGTATACTTTACTTTCTAGGCCAGCTTGTTCTGCTCTAACTGTGATCTCTACCTCTTGGATGTCCTATCAATACCTCAGCTGACGAATCTCCCCACACCCACCCTACCCTACGCCGGGAGACACATGCTCTACATCATGTGGCCTCTGACCCGTCTCTCTGGTCTCATTCTGTATGTGTGTGCTCTGGCCATATTGGACCACATGCAGGTCTCTAAATAGTTGTGCGTTCTTAGGTATCTGCACATGCCACTTTTTTTTTTTTTTTTTTTTAAACCTGGAAGGCCCTCCCATGCCTTTCTTTGCATAACCAGGTCCTATTTCCTGTTAACGTTCAGCTCAAGTGTCACTACTTTTGGCAGAGTTCACCTAATCTGAATTTTTGTTTGTTTCCATCATAGCACTCCCTGCCCCCTATATTTGATTTTTTTTTAACTTCTCTTTCTTCTTCCTTACACTGTGAGAACCCTTGAAGGCTTGAGAACACCTTTTATCTTTTTATCTCACTGTCTGAAATAGGTGTATACAGGAGAAGCTCCGATGCCTAAGAAGACTGTGGTGATCGCTTGCTACTCTCTCCAGCCTAGTCAATACTTACTGTAATTTCATGATGACATTTACAACGGCTTCTACATTTTTGTTTTGTTTTTGTTTTTCTACTTTCTCAAGGCAAGAGGAAAGTCCTATAAGACATAGATATGAACTATACATGTTCCTTTGCCTCTTCCTCCTCCCAAATAAATTGACTTACACCTGCAGCAGCTAGCAGCAATAGGTATTATTGGGGACTGTTTTTTTTTTTTTTTTTTTATTCCTGCTTACAATGTGAAGAATTTTTTTGTTTTGCCTCAAAGAAAGAAATTGTAAGCCCCAAATTCTGCCTTTTTAACACATTGAATAATTTGGAAGTAGCCACTTTAACATTGATTTTTAATCTTACTTTTACTTTTTTGAAGTACCCTATGATGAGAGGACCCGATCTTGCTGCTGCTCCATATAGTACTCAGAAATCATCTGTTCTACCTCTTTATGAAGTAAGTTCTTACTCAGATCTTTGTGTAACAAAATAATTTGCACGATTTAGAAGTATAATTTTGGTATATTGCCTTTTAGAATACTTTTCAGGAGCTCCAGGTAATGAGGCGGAACCTGAACTTGTTTAGAACACAAATGATGGATTTAGAATTGGCAATGCTGCGTCAGCAAACCATGGTTTATCATCATATGACTGAGGAGGAAAGGTAAAAGTTCATTTTTGCTCAACTTATAATTTTTTAAGCTAGGTTTTGTTTCTACTGCTGTGTACCCTGTATCTGTTTTGTGAACCAGTGTAGATAATGTTAGGCACACACAGTGCTTTACTAAGTGAACTTCTCTACCTTCAATGTATTAAGGAAAAGGATGGTTATAATAAATTTTTCAGCATTTGGGATATTTGTGAGAAAGGATGGAGGAAGAAAGACTGATGTCCTATTGGATTCACCTACTGTAGTTGATATTGTACTAATTTATAGGACTTGCAATTTCAATACCTTCTGTTAGTTTATAATAATGGTCAAAAGAGTTGTGAATAGGAATCATCACCAAGCTGCATTTTTCAAGCTTTGTGCCTGTCACCATACCCGTAGATTTGAAGTTGATCAGCTCCAGGGTTTGAGAAATTCAGTGCGCATGGAACTTCAGGACCTGGAGCTGCAGCTGGAGGAGCGCCTGCTGGGCCTGGAGGAGCAGCTGCGTGCTGTGTGTGTGCCTTCGCCCTTCCGCTCCTGCGCACTCACGGTACGCTGCCCTGACGGTGGTCAGGAGATGTTTCACCGGATTTAGGACACGTGCCTTTAGTGCAAGTCATTTATTTTAGTGATATTAAAAGCATGCAGACTGCTTAAGGAGCTTTCCCACAAATCAGTTGAATGTGCAAGTTGTGCTAATTGTTTTAAATATTTAGTATATTTAGAAATATGTTGAACATTTTTAATGATAATTTTTAATAGGAAAGAGTAAGGGTCAATGTAAAAGTTTAGTGTTTGTAAAGGAAAAACGAGTAAATTTTCATGACTAATTTAAATTTTAATCACTGAATGTAACTGCAAAGAACACAAACATATATTTTACTCAGTCTTTTTTTCCTCCTTTCTTGCCTTTAAATAACTGTCCTTTTTAAACTTTTTCTTTGTTTTGGATTCTTTTCCTTTATGTTTTTTACGATATAAAGTGAGATGTTTAGATAGGAAACATATATACAATCAAGAGAATGAAAAGAAACACTGTCTTTATTTTGTACCACTTTTCATACTTCTAATGTTTCTTTCCATGAAGTTTGAGCTTCAGTAGTTATATTCTTATTCTTGCCAGTATCTTTGAAGTTGTAGAATATGTTGCTTTGAAATGGTGAAATAATGAATTTTCCTCTATTATTTAATACTTTAGTAATGCATTTGATTTTGTTAAAAATAAATGGATATGTACACATACACATGGATATATATGCACACATGGAGTACAATAGAGTAAGAGTGTGTGTATACACACATATATATGTATAGCATAAAATAAGAATATTCTGTGGCATTAATGAATATATTTTCCATGATTTGGATCTGTCATTCTGAGAAAGATGTGTTGGTGGCAGCAGAGAATCAGAACATCCTCTGTGCACTTTGTATCAATTTTCAGTTGCAATAACACATTTTATAGGATCAGTGACAGTTGAGGGTGACCTAGGTGACATAAAGGGATGCTTCAGGGCACTAATTAGCCAATTTATTATCAAACTCTTGCAACTTGAAAAAAAAATACATACAGATAAAAATATAAATATTGTTCTTACCTTTTCAGGGAATGTGTGGCAGTAGAAGCGCTGATAACTTGTCATGCCCTTCTCCATTGAATGTAATGGAACCAGTAAGCCTCTCTCCTTTTAAATCACTGGGGAAAGGAATGATACAACATTTCATAAACATGCAACTTTCCTAGTGTAGATGAAATGTTTTTTTATTTCTTTTAAATACAGAATTTGATAAGTTACAATTAAATAGATTGGAAGTGAGTTTGACGTTTCTAAAAGTCCATTGGTATCTAAATCACTAGAAAGCCAGCTTAATTGCAGTAGTGATTTATCATCTTTATGACCTAAAGGAAATAATGTCCCATAAAAAGCATTTAATTTTAACTCCAGGAGAAATGTGCTATATTTGAGACAAATTGGTTTATTTGGGGCAAAAGCATTATGAGTAACTATTTTGTTTTTCACTAGTTACTCTTCCTTACAAGTAATTTGGACACCGGTGTGGTAACAAGTAAAATTTCATCCTGCTGTGTATTCTAGTTACCAGTTGTATTGCTTGGTCTCACTGGGAATTTAAATTTTACTTGCTCTTTTTGCAGATGAAATTGAGTAGTCACTAAATTAATGAAACACATTAACTGTACAAGTTACATGATTTTTGGCAGTAATCACAGCTAGGCTTTAAGACTTCTTTTTAACTACCAATCTTAATTTCAAGAGAGAAGAGTAACAGTTTTTCTGATTTCCAGGTCACTGAGCTGATGCAGGAACAGTCATACCTAAAGTCTGAATTAGGCCTGGGACTTGGAGAAATGGGATTTGAGGTTCCTCCTGGAGAAAGCTCAGAATCTGTTTTTTCCCAAGCAACATCAGAGTCATCTTCTGTATGTTCTGGCCCCTCTCATGCTAATAGAAGAACTGGAGTACCTTCTAGTGCCTCAGTGAACAAACCGAAAACTCAGTCAGTGGCAAGGAAGAAAGTATTCCGAGCATCGGTGGCCCTAACGCCAGCTGCCCCTTCTAGAACAGGCTCTGTGCAGACACCTCCAGATTTGGAAAGTTCTGAGGAAGCTGAAGCCTCTGAAGAAATCCCAGAAGTCACAGGACCTAAATCTGAAGTGGAAGAAGGACATGGAAAACTCCCAGTAATGCCAGCTACTGAGGAAATGCATAAAAATGTAGAGCAAGATGAGTTGCAGCAAGTCATTCGGGAGGTGGGTAAAATCTTATGCTTAATTCATTTATTTGGAGATGTGTATTAGAAGAGATTTTTTAAAAATTATTATGGTTATAGTTGTGTATCTTTATAGGGTACATGTGATGTTTTGATGCAGGCACACAATGTGAATTAATCAGGGTAATTGGGGTATCCATCACCTCAAACACTTAAGATTTCTTTGTGTTAGGAACATTCCAGTTCCACTCTTTTAGTTATTTTAAAGTATACCCTAATTTATTGTGATTATAGTCATTTTGTTGTGTTCTCAAATATTGTTCATTCTGTCTCATTAACTGTATTTTTGCACCCATTAACCATCCCCACTTTATCCTCTTCTCCCTGCTACCCTTCCCAGGCTCTGGTAACCATCATTCTACAGAGGAGATTTTATTTGAATGTTAATTATTTATAAGATATTTTTTTGATTCGCAATATTTTGTAATTGACAGAGAGCTTTTAGATTCTTTCCCACTGATCCAGTTAGTGTCTATTAAGATATGTTTGTAATGGCTTTTCTGCAAATTTCATACTCCAGTGTGAAATAGTTGCAATTTTCTATTCACTACGGTGAAAAAGTGTTTGTAGTGCTCGAAATAGATAAACATGTGACAAACTCTTTGGACCTCTTGTTCCCAAGAGGGATTACAATTGAGATTTCTTCCAGGATTAAAAGCTGCATTTTATAGTTTCAGTTGACATGAGAAATTGATGTTGTGATTTTAATAAGTATAAAGAATTTCATCTCCTTGGTTTTTGCTGGGTGGAGAAGTATAGAAATTATATCAGTTGTTCAAAAATTGAAGTACAGTAAGAAAAGGGGGTGATAGCGGTGTGAGAACCTGAAGCATTACCATAGTTCTAGATTACCAAAACTGCAAAAATTTAGGAAAGTTAGTCAAAGGTTAATAAAATTAGTAAAATAACTCTTTTTAGCACTAAGATCAGGTAATAAGGAATAGTATGCGTCATTTACAAAGGGAGAACTCCTTTTTAATGAGCCATCATTTTTAGCTACATGATGGTAGCTTAACAGTACATTGAAAATAAATACTGTCAGTCCTCTTGTAATAGGATACATGTGTTCCTAAAAATCTCTGTGCCATACAAACTCATGCAATAAAAACCACAGGGTTTATGGGGAAAATAGAATTACAGGCATAACACTTATAACTTTGTCAGTGACACGTGAAAAAGACAAAAGATAGAAACCTAGTGAACACAGTAGCAGTTTTATGCAGTTGACCCTTGGTATCTGAGGGGAACTGGTTCTAGGACCCCTGCAGATACCATAATCTGTGGATGCTCAAGTCCCTTGTATAAAATGGCGTAGTATTTGCATATAATCTGTGCACACCTCCTGTATAATTTAAATCATCTCTAGATTCCTTATGATACCTAATACAATTTAGATGCTATATAAATTTTTAAAATTGTTACACTGTTATTTTTTATTTCAAATATTTTCTATCCGCGGTTGATCGAATGCACAGGGGGAACCTGAGGATATGGAGGGCTGACTGTACCTGTTAAATGGTTAAGAAATATATAAATATTACAATAAATATGGTACTTTACCTTAAAAAAACCCTGAAGTTTGTGGAATTGGGCTTTGGAAATGTTGTAACTTGTGAGTTACTGTGAAGGAGTGGAAGGAGGGTGAACTGAAATCTGACAGAAAGTTTTACACCAGATGGGGATGGGTGTGGCTCATAACAGATAACTGAGATAGCTGGTAGATGTTTAAGGTGTGTGCATTTTGTGTACTATGTTCCTAGGTTCATTGGAGTGCAGTGTTCTGTATTCACTTAGTGTTTCTTGTGGATGAAATTGCATGTAAGCAAACATGAAATTTGCATTATATGGAAGTTGTTTCCTAATATTTCAATCATGTTAAAACAAATTCACATTTTCAAAACTAGTGTTACAGCAGACTACATGACTGCGTGTCTGTAATTTATTTTCATGACATGACTCTACCAACTAAAAGTTTTAAAAGTGTAATTCTATAAATTTATTTGTCCTACGAATGGAATTATTTTTGTAAGTTGGTTGTGGCTGGCTAATGTCTAGCAAACTCTGTACATCCACTCTGCCCAGTCTGGTGTGCCTGTGATTAGTAATCCTTTCCTGTTTACATGTTTTATATCAAAGATCAATTTTTGAGTGAAATTAAATAATTGTTCTTTTCCATCCTACATTTGCTAATTGAGGAAATAGATTTTAAGGTAGCTTTTTCCCCCTAGAAATTTGATGTTTTTCTTCCCCTTAGCTTGCTTTAGTTTGAAAATTTCGCTTGAAAATTTTATGTTATTTGTTTGGTGCAAATACTCCCTTTAATGCACATTGAATTCTCATTTTTAAAGTTATGATGGCCTGATATGTGCTTTAAGTAATTTCCTGGGAATAAAGCATTCACTTTAGACCATAACATTGATACTTTGGCTGTCAAAGCATAGTATTGAAAAAAGTCAGTTGTTCTCATTAGGCTTCCTTGGTCCTAGAGAATTAATCATTCATAAGAACCTTCCATTAAATATGAAAGCTTTTATTATTTGCAGACATTTAAACTGACATGCAAGGCATATGTTTGGAGAATTTTTCAGAATTTATTACTAAACCCATTAATTACAAACTACTTGGTTCAGAGTTTGGCATAGTTTGGAGGAAGTTGGGTTTAACATGTACTCTTTTACTGTCTACGTAGAAGGGCTTACCAATCAAAATATATAGAGATCAAGGCATAAGAGGAATATTATTGCACTAAAGAAAATAAATTCTTTTGAAGTACTTTAAAAGCACATATTATTAGATAAATTAGTTCAATGCCAGTTATAATTTTAAAAAATTGTGTTAATATTAGCTCAGTTGCAGTGGTTTTCTGTTAAAGTTTGTTTGCAAGGTATTTAAAATTCAGAATAGTTTTTATTCCATTCATTTCAAATTGCTAATCTTTTTACTTAAATATACGTGGTACTGAATTCCAGTCTTTTTTTAAGCTTAGTGTATCAGTTACCAAGATAATTAAATTAGATTCTGTTTTCCCAGTAAATTCTGAGCCCTTAACCCCATTAACAAAGCCTCCATTTAAGAAGGCAAGATTTAGTCTTGGGTTGAACAGTTTTGCAGGTGAGGATTAACTCTGTTTGCCAGGCACTTTCAAGGAAGTTTTCTCATTGCATTCATGGGCGCATGAAAACAATAATATCTGTCAGGCCGTTGTTTCTTTCATTGCACCATAAGTGAGGTTTTTAAAAAGAGTGTTTTCATCGTTTATAATGTGTTAATACAATAAGAATTCTTTTTTTGAAAGGGAACATTGAAAGAAAGTCCTTTTAGACAAACATTTAATATACTCATTCAGTACTAAATTTTTGTCAGATTAAAGATACCCCTTTTCTGTGCACGTTACGAACATTGTAGTAGGAAAAAAGTACACCGTCTTAAAATTTGCAGTCATCTGTGATGCATATGATCAGTGGCCTGAAACTGTTTACAGTTACTTTAAAAATGTATGTATATGTGTAAATAAATAGTACTTAATAGAATGAATGAATATGTGCCCACAGAAGCAAATTCAACAGAATTAAATGTCAAAGAGTAAACACAGATTGCTTTGTGTTTAAAGGGTTCTTCTTTGTTTATTCAAGTGCCTAGACTTGGTTCATGCCTTTCAGAATCTTTATTACAGTACATCTGACATGTTTTAAACATGTATTTTGGTAAATACACAGCTTGCCCATGTGTGCTTATTGAAACTTTTTTTAGTGATCACTTAATATAACGGCTGCCACACGGTAGGCACTCACTAGGTACACAGTAAGTGGATGTGTCGCCCCACACTTCAGACGTGCAGTCAGTCTTTTTGTATTGTCAACAAGCATTCCCATCTTAATCTCAGGTAGTCTTGTCTTCAGCCAAGACTGAAACTAGACCCCCACCTCTCACCTCTCACAAAAATCAATTCAAGGTGGATAACAGACTTAAACCTAAGGCATGAAACCTTAAGAATTCTAAATGAAGATGTTGGGAAGACCCTTTCAGACATCAGCCTAGGCAAGGAATTCTTGAAGGAGAACCCCAAAGCAATTGCTGCAGCAACAAAAATAAATAAGTGGGATCTAATCAAATTAAAAAGCTTCTGCACTGCCAAGGAAACTATCATTAGAGTGAATAGACAGCCCACAGAATG